TTTTAGAGTGTTGGGATAATGAACCAGATAATCGTCCAGATATGAGTAAAGTAGTTGAAGCGCTTGGTAAATTAAAATCTATTACTACAAAAACTAACCTTGCGGATAATGAGCAAACTGACGATTATAATTTAAATGTCCAATTATCGGAACAACAACTTGATAATAAAAATTCTTCACCACATTCATTATATAGTGAATTATCTCAACTTATACAAAACTTTGATAAGATGAATTTGAAATAATGAACCTATTTTTATAAGAAAAGAATTATCGACAAAAAATGTTAGGTATTTTTTGTCATCTCTCCATTACACTTTTGAAACTTGTTAAATATTCTGTCTGAACTTCCACTACATAAAATTTTTTAATTATCTTGTTATATAGAGTAAGAATTTTATTTTTTCAATGCTTACAAAAATAAAAATATCGTTTCGAATAACATGTGGCGCAGTAATTTATTCGAGTGTTTTTTGCCTATTGATTCTTTCCATTCTTTTTTCGTATGCAATAGAACTTTTTCCGGATGCTATTGTGATCAAATTAGATTATAGCTCTTTTTTAAAGTCACCAAATCAAAATAACAATGATATCTTTCTTTTGTCAATCTTATAGAGTAAAAAGTTACTATTTTCTTATCTAAATATTTCGGTGAATAACTCTTTGATTAAATTAGTCAATATTGGAAGCTTTATCATTAGTTTAAGTAACTACTTCTCTCGTTCAAGATAAAATAGCTTTATTTATAATAACGGCAACTATGAGATCGTGACCAAAGGTCACGGCTGCCCTATATTTTCACGTTCGAAGAAAATTTGTATTCTTTCTAACTTGGGATGCTACACATTTGATATTATATCGAAATGGTAGATACCGTAAATTTTTTGATTGGTTGGTTAAATGCAATCCATTGAATTTTTATCATCAATACGAAAAATAAAAAGATCATAAATCTTTCGAGCCTCTGGTTTCTTTCGGAGAGCATTTTTGGTAACCTCTTTGGGAAGCTGATCTTTAACACCCTCTTTTGAGCTTCATTCACAGGTTTGCTTGTAATGGTTAAAATGTTTTCTCTTCAAAGTAATAATAGTACCTCAAAGAACTCATTTTTATTTAGTACTTCAGCATTGGAATTTTTAAATAAAAAAAAAAAAATTGAAATGAAATTTTCTAATATCATTACGAAATCCTCTTTTATTAAGGTATTATTATTCATAATGAATTCGAGTTCATATAATACAAAATTTCTATGATCAAGTTATACATTATGTTTTCATGAATGCAAAAAGGATAGGCTCTATATTGGTTATTCATTAAAATATTAAACACCTCCAAGTTACCTACATATTGATTATATGATCGCGAACACGAATTTATTCCTTGAATCCGTATGTACTCCGTTGGAAGTCAGGCTGATCCGAAATAGTCTGGCACTTACAAACATATTGTCGAGAAAAGTTTTTGTTTCATAATATCGTTCGAAAGAATCAATTCTCATAATGGATTATAGATCACAAGAATATTATTTGATTTCAAATGACTTCAATGACATCATTTATATAAATTTTAAAGTTTAAAATGACTTATAATTTTTAAAATATAAAATCTCGAATGGTTTATTAATTAATCGTGTAATAAAGAAAAATAAATATTCGTTAATTATGCATCCTATTCAACTAAATTTTACTAGAACCACCGTTTCTGCTACTATCATTATTGCAGAAATTCCCATCCATTCATTTATTCTAGGAGTGATTTTTCTTTTCTTTGATTAAATAAAGCCATGAACTCTACCCATATAGTTTCGACTTCATCAGAATATTCTACATCACGAAGTATAACAAACAGTTCTCAAGCATTTTATTAATTACTCTAAAAGCATTTGTTTTAAACACTTTTCAAGTAGATTCCAACGGACATACAGTATATAAAAAATACAATAATCTATAAATTTAAAAAAACCATGAAAAAATTTTTTTACACCACCACTTTTTTTAAATTTCCAATTGAACCTTGATTAGGTAGGTTAATTCTAATTTTTTCACTAAAATTAAATAATTAAAAAAAAAATAACTGATAAATGAAAGAATTAGTTTTAAAAAAGGTTAAATAATTTTATTCATCTTTCATTAAATACAAACTTTTCTAGTATATTTCATTAATTAATAAATATTATAATTAATAAAAATAAATATTACAAAAGGTAAAATGTAAAATACTTATTATATCTCATGATTCAAGATTTTAAAAAAGCCATTTCTTTTACTTTACAAATTTATTTAAAATCATATTAATTTCTTTTAAGAAATCATAATAAACAGATATTCAAATGTTATAAAAATTTTTTGTATTTGGATTTGTAAATATATGAATTGTCAATAATACAATTTCAGAACATATACTTTATAACATTTTAAAGTATATATAACTTGTATCTTTTGACACATATCTACTACTTATCATTAAAAGAATTTATTATTTTACAATAAATTAGTTTTATTTACATTTCTCTCAGGTGATTGTCATGAACATTTCTAATTAATATGATTACGCATGAAAATCATTATTAAAAGGGATTTTTCTATGATTATCAATAGATTACATACGTGACATTTCAATGATTATCAAATTTTTTTTTTTATAGTTACATCCAGGACAATTTATTTCATCTATGTGGACGAAAGAATGGAAAACATTATTACTCAGACAGTGGCGAAGTCAACGAAATTTACATACCAGAATTATCTCTGAGGTAATTGATAGTAAGAAATTTATGGATAATGATTATTATTATCTTTTAGAAAAAATGTTAATTCGCTTCATTTGTCAGATAATGCCAACTAAAGAAAGTACATTACCAACACAACCGAAAGTTATACTCAAAGGTGATTTTTTTATTATTTAAAATACTTTTGTTTCATTTCATTATATAATTAACCAATTTCTTCTTTTAAATACTTGATTAAGCTGTCTCACCTTTACCAACTTACATTCAAGCTTGGATTCATGATTTTGAGACAAATACACCATTAGGAATAATAAATTTGGATCGAAAAATTTTTGGATCACCAATTAGAAAAGATTTATTACAAAGAGTAATTGTATGGCAACGCGATTGTTTAAGACAGGGAACGCATTCTTCTAAGAACAGAAGTGAGGTAAGAGGAACTACTAGAAAATGGGCAGCACAAAAAGGAAGAGGAAAAGCTAGAGTTGGAACCCATCGAGCACCTCAATTTAGAGGTGGTAAGTATATAAATATATTATTTTTTTTTTATTTTATTTTTTTTATATTTTTCATTTTAAACATTACTCTAATTTTGTTGGGTAAGGTGGCGTTGCTCATGGACCCAAACCGCGTTCGCATGCTACCGATTTACCGAGAAAAGTACAACTTTTTGGTTTACGATCAGCACTTGCAACAAAATTTGCACAAAATCAACTTGTGATTGTCGACAATTTGAAGTTAAAAACACATAAAACACGTGATTTATTGTCCATATTGGCGGGTAACGCATGGGATCCTCTTTCCGCAGATAGAAAACAGGGACATTCAGTCTTGTTTTTGACTCAGAGACATATGATGAAATTAGATCTTGCATCAAGAAATTTGCAAAGAGTCCATGCTTTAACGGCAGATGAAATTTTTGAGGCTGGTGATGTTTACAATATTATGGGACATGAAATACTTATGATCGATCATGATACTTTGCGACTATTAGAAGAATTACTAAGACCTAATTAGTAATTTCTTAAATTATATTATAATCTTATTATTCAATAAATTATATCAAAAGTATTTTTAATAATTGAATTGAAAAAAGGAAAAAAACCTTTTGAATTAGAAAAAGCGAGCGTTATTTAAATAAAGTATTTTCGGCCGATAAAATATGTTTATGGATAAAATCTTTTGCTGCGTAAGCACCCTTTACATAAATAAGAAAAAAGGAAATATTATTAAAAATTGTTATAACATGCACTAATAAAATATAAGTCTTCTCATTACCTTATCATGGTAAAGCGCCCCGACGAGGGCTATCAATGCTTTTCCCGTGACACTTTCTTCCCCTGAGGGTGGTATTTCTTGTCCTTCCTCTTTTGCTTTAATCATTCTCGCCTCATTCGCCTATATAGGTATATATGAATCATGCTTGATTATTTTTCTGTACTTATATTTTTTTTTTTTTTTAAAAAAAAAAAAGATATTCCGAAATCGCCAAAAAAATGCTCGTCTCAAATTCTAATTACTGATGAAATTTTTTTTTGATCTATAATAATTATATTACCGGAGTCCAATGCAATAAATTATTTAAACCCAAGTTTATTCCAATTCTTCCAAGCTTATTCAAATCTTTCGTGTACAACTTAATTTTGTTTCGCAAATGTTCTGGTGGAACTTTATTTATAAAATGTTCTACTATATAAAGTTGAATAACATTTTCACCTAATAAATAAAGAATGGTTATCAATTGGACCGAAATGAACATTTATTAAAAAGATTCATCAAAATTTTACCGAGAAAACCTAATCGTTCATTTGTAGGTGCATGGTGTAATTTAATTGATTTATGCGTACAAACTTGATGTATCAAATTTGAATCGGAAAATTCTATATCATTTTGTTTACAAAATTTATTGTGTTTGTCGTTCGCATGAGCCTTTTCAATTGTAAGAGGTTTAGTAACATTTTGTTTTGTATTTAATTGTCTTGCTAATTAATTTTATGAAAAAAAAATGGTAGAATGTTGAAATGAGTGAATACATAAAAAAAAAGATAAATATAAAAAAGAAAATTTCAATACCAAAGTATGTCAAAGAATATTTCAAGGTGACTCTTGAAGAAAAAGTTTTTGTTAACATTTGAAAATAGATTATCATATCAATATCGATATTATCAATAAAAAAATTTTTTAAAATGATCTAACCAATTTTTTTTAGTCACGTGTCTCCACACGTTAATTTCGCCCTGAAAAATGGTAGCCGGATTTTATTTGCCGGGTCGCATATACTTATTAGGGTGACGTTTAATTGTGACAATTATCATTTTCTTACAAAAAAAATTTTTTTTGATCTGGAGAATAGCCAATTTTACTTGTTAGAAGCGAAGAATCAAAAGAAACGCCGGGCTTTGAAACTAAAAGTGCTCTGTTGCGTAAGTCCTGTAACTCATTAATATTGTACAGTCGCGTCACAAAGTGACACCCGATCCAAATTTATAATAAAACATATAAAGAATAGAAAATTTCAAGCCAACACACTTTATAACGAACTGACGGTTCCGTTAGAAAAAAAAAAGATCGTTATATGCTTTCTATATGAACCATTACACTTTTTATAACGAACTATTATTTAAATTTAAAAATTGTGAGTTCGTTATATCCAGTGTTCGGTATAAAGAGGTTCGTTATAACCAGTTTGACTGTACATATTAGTATTTACTTAATTAATTATTTCTAAATTTTATATAATTTTAAAGCCAGTTAGTTGTATGTTTTTAAAAAAAAAAGGTTTTAAATTTTAAATGCATAAACTATTTTAATTGTAATTTACAAAAGATTTTTTCTAATGTTTAAGATCCAAAAAAAAATTCATACATATAAAAATGGACAATTTCGAACTGCATATAAATTTATATTTCTTTTAAAAATTGTTTCTAAATTTTGCATAATTTTACAGCTAATTGGGAAGGTTTGCTATTAAAATCGAGTTACGAACATAGTAAATCATATGATCCGTAACGTGATTTTAATAGCTTACCTCATTATTTAACTTTGGGGAGCAAGAATCATTTTAATTGTAAGATCCAGAAAATAAATTTTATATATAAATTACTATTAAATTCAAATCGAGCATCACTTTGCGACGCGACTGTACCTCATATATCGTTCTCCCTTAGACTCGTAAACAACAGGTTTATATCGTTCACGTTTCTCTTTCTTGGGAAGTAAAGGTGATTTTGGTTCATCATCATCACCTTTTGATCGTTTTTTTTTGTTGTTGAATGTTTGGGTGTAGTCTTAGTTGCCGATATTGGTTCGTCAATTACCGAAGAACATTCCTTTACAACTGTATACGGAGTATTACTACTAATATCTTATTTTGCAGCTTTACATGGGTCAGAAAAAACTGGCACTTACTTTATATTTTTATATTCTTGTACTGCTTTCTCCCAATAAGGTTTGAGCCCGTTACCTCCCGTTCTAATTTTACCTGTTGTGAGAGAGAGATAATATTATCAGTGAAATTTATTTTAGTAATAAATAAAGGGACATAATCGATTCCTCATCAGAACCAACAGTCCTTTTTCATAAAGTTTGGACTTCCTAAATTAAGAATACCTGGAGTGGGTACCAGTATCAAAATCTCCTAGCCAAACCAATGATTGACTAAGAAGTTACCATCCTTTCAAAAAAAAAATGCACCTTATTTTTTAATCCAGCAAATTCTTTTCCTTCATATGCAAAATGGGAGGACCAAAGATTATTAAGGTAATCCCAATCTTTAAAAGAAATTATTATGCTCTGATTTAATTTCAAAAAACCTCAGTACAATTTAATTTCATGGGTTTGTAATAAAATACGATAGCTAAGAAATTAAATATTGATTAGAAATTGAATAAATTCTTATTATCATATTGAACTTGAAGAAAGCACTATTCATACAGATAAGCATCTTGACTAACCTCTCTTTGCGTGCGAGACTTCTCATACTTAGTTTAATAATATCCTACAAAATTATTTTATTAAAAAAATAATATATAAAACAAGTATCGGTTACTTGAATGTTATTCTAAAGAACTTTATAGTGGCAGCTATCTTCTCTTTCAACATCCTGTCTATTTTTTGATCTATATTTTGACATATATAAATATTCTCAGATGCAAAATGATCTACCTTATTGTATGAATTGACCCTTTTACTATTCTTATTGTAAAACAATTATTATTTATATAGTGATCGACAAGAGAGTCAACTTTATATTACAAGGAGGGTCTTTTGCTTTCAGATGAAAAATTAAAAAAATTATTGAAAATAAACATGAAGTTTTAAAGAAAACTCTAAAATTATAATTTATATATAATGTATATAAATAATGCAAACTGAATATCACGTGATTAAATTAACAAAATTATACTAAAATTTTAAAGGGATCCTTAATCTGTTCTAGGGATATAAGCTCTATATCCTATTCTGTAACTGTTTGTATCACATGATATTTACTTTAAAAAATTTATTTATACATAGAGTACAGATTAAAAACCTATACCTCAGGTACACTCCCCTGAAAAAAATGACCTAAAAATTGTGATTTCACGTAACAATCAACAATCAATATACATTTTTTAAATTGCAATATCTCAAGAATCTGATAATATTTTTAAATAATTTTTTTTATTAAAATAATATAATATTCAATTAGTTAATATATAAATTTAATATTTAGTTGAATAGTCTTTTGATTTTTTAATAGCCCTAACATGACAAGGCATGCTTTCTATAAGATTACTGTAAACTGAGCTATCCATATTTAATTATTCATTCTGTAAGAAATTAAATAGCTCAGTTTCATTTTTTAGCAATAAACTTCGTTTATAAACTTTTCGCTTTAGTTCATTCTAAATATTTTCTATAGGATTAAGATCAGGACTCTGTGAAGGCCATGGAAGATGTAAAATATTATTTCAGAAAACCAATCTATTGTTCTTTTTGCTCAATGAATTAGTTCATTAACATTCTGAAAAAAAATATACATTTTCCTTACCAATATTCTTTAAATAAGGCAATAAATTATTATTAAGAACTTTAATATAATCTTTTTCTGTCTGTCAACTATCAATTCATACTAATAGACCTAAACTATTTGAAGAGAAACATCCTCAAACTATGGTACCTTTTCTATTAAATTTAAATGTTGGTATAAAATAGTTTACATTATATTTTTCTTTTAATAATTTTCAAATATTATTATAATTATCACTTTCAAATACTTTAAAATGGGATTCATCACTCCAAATAATATAATTCTATTCAAAATCCCAATTTATTCTTCTTTTGTCTACTCTAAATATTTTTTATGATTAATTTCATTTCCTTTTTTTAACTTAAACATAAACCCTTTTTCATAAAGATATTTTTGTAAAATACGAGTAGTAACTTTATTAGATATAGATTCAGTAAATTTATTATTTAACATTTTTAAAGTTACTTTGTAATCTTCTTTAATAATATGAATTAAATGATGTTTATCACATTCAGTCAAAGTAGGTGGTCTACACTTTATGAAAGGAGTTTTATTTCTCCAGTATTTTTATAATGATTTATTATATTATATATAATAGAAGTAGAAACTTCTAATATTTTTGAAATAGTAAAACCAGATATATTACATTTTCAAGTACTAATTATTTGATTACAGTCATCTTCTGTTAATTTTTTTCATTTTTTGCATAGTAAAGTCTATAAAAAATAAATAAAAATTTTAAATATCAAGTTGTTGCAGTTGCTGCAATTATGCAGTTACTGTGGTAATTTTTTTTTTTAAAAATTAATGTTTATGTTTACATTTATCCAAATTTGTTTAAATTGCATTATGACAATAACAGTTAATTTAGTAAAATTTAGCAATATCAGAATGATCTTTATA